TGGAGCAGATCATGCCCATTCAGTGAGGCTCTGGAGGAGCTGAGCACCAACCTGTGCACGTTGTCATCACCCCTGGGCACAGACGTGGCTGCAGCCTTGGTGGGACACCTGGTTTGCCCACTTCCAGGTGAGAAGCTCCAGGGAGCTTCTGTTCTCCCCAGCCAGACCTGAGCTGAGGTTAATGACCTGGGAAGGGAGCAGCAGGATCCACAGCAAGGAGGAGCCTTTGGAAAATCCTTCCTGAACCGTGTCTGAGCTTTGTGTTCCTGGTCAGTGTTGTCCATGCTCGTGTCTGATGCTGTCTGACTACAGCCTGTGAGCTTCAAGCCTTCTTTTTGCTTCCATATTAAAAAAAATAAAGGAAAAGGTGACCCCCTTCAAGTAAGAACTGCCAGAATCATTTCTCATGGCTTCCTCAGAGCCCTGTCCCTAGATGATGGCACTTGTCACACCCCACGTGGCAGTTGAATAGACTGATGCCATTTCCCATTTGGCTGGAGGACTGAGCAAAGTCCTGTCGCTTCCAGCCTCAGGCTGAGGTATTGATATGACATTGCAGAGCTGGAGGAGAGTCCCTGGGGCCTGTTTCTAAAATAACTCGAGCTGCTGTCGTGCTGGTAGGTCAAGCAGTCAGATGGGGAGCCTGGAGATGGATTTCCTACGGCCACCATCCCCAGCAGCCAGGGTAGCTCTGGTGGAAAGGCAACACTGACCTCCCTCTCCACTGCTTCTCCCTAGGTGGTACCATGGGCACCTCACTGGCAGGGAGGCAGAGAAGCTTCTGGCAGAGAAGGGGAAGCCAGGCAGCTTCCTGGTGCGAGAGAGCCAGAGCAAACCAGGAGACTTTGTACTGTCGGTGCTGACAAATGAGGATAAGATGGAGACTGGGGACAGGAAGCTCCACGTGACCCACGTGATGATCCACTACCAGGTGGGTGATGTGCTGGCCCTGCCCACCCTCTGGTAGGCACCAGGAGCTGTGGATTTGAGTCTCACTGTGGTTCTGTCCTGCAGCCCGATGGGAAGTATGACGTGGGGGGAGGAGAGAGGTTTGACACGCTCACAGACCTGGTGGAGCACTATAAGAAGAACCCCATGGTGGAGAAATCTGGAGCTGTGGTTCATCTGAAGCAGGTAATAGCTGCTCTGGCACCTAGTCGTTGGTTCTGGGCTCATCCAAACTCCTTTGGGGACTCCCTGCCCCTAGAACATCCCACCACTTGGCCATGGTCACACCTACCAGAGAGGTCCCTGGCCCCACACTCGTGGCCTCACAAAGGGACCCAACTCCTGCCAGTAGCCCCAGGGATTCAGGAACTGCTTTTTTCAAGGGGAAAGACTTCTCTCTCTGTTATTGAAGTTGATTTCTATTCCCTCTTGTCTGTCTTTCAGCCATTCAACGCCACGCGCATCAACGCAGCCAACATTGAGAACAGGGTGAAGGAGCTGAACAAGATGGCAGACCACAGTGAGAAGGCCAAGCAAGGGTTCTGGGAGGAGTTTGAGGTATGGGATGCTCCTGTGCTCTGTCCCACCTTTGCCTCTGGGTGAAGAATGTCATATCTGCACGGGAGTGGCATGATTTCCCAGCACTGAGCACCTCTTCTCAACAGTTGCTCCTTTCCCTCTTGTCCACGTGCCACTGAGTTACTTCCTGGTCCTTTTTTATATTGTTTTCTTCTCGTGTCTGAGGCAGTTTCTCCTTCCTCCTCCTAGAACTGCACACCTTCTGCTCCCTGCAGGGATTTGTGCCTTCTCCCCCCATTAACTTCCAAGCTGCTCCTTGGCTCCCTTTCCCTTCCTTCCAGCACTCCCTCTGCTCTCCACAGCCTCAGGAAGCCAAGCAGCTCGTTGAAAGAGCCTTTCCTTTGCCTCTGACTCCCCTTGTCTGCCCCAAACTCTTTGTTCTTTTGCACTCTGCTCCACAGATGCTGCAGCAGCAAGAGTGCAAGCTCCTCTACCCCAGGAAGGAGGGGCAGCGACCGGAGAACAAGGCTAAGAACCGCTACAAGAACATCCTTCCCTGTAAGGAGACACTGGATACTGCTGGGAGCTTTTTGCACCACAATCTTTGCATCTTTCTATGGTGCTACTTAACCCTGCAGAGCTTTCTGACCCTCGTTGGAAGGAGGTGTACACTGTCCTGGTGGGGTGGTCCAGTTAGCTCGTGGTGTTCTCCATCCAATTCTAACCTGGTCGTTCCCATTTGTGGTGGGGGAAGCTGTTAAATTGTTCTCCCCTCTCTGTGCTGGGAGTCCAGATGTGTTTCAGAGCTCCAGCATAGTTCAGAAGTCATATAAAGCCAGAGCTAGTCTTTAAATGGTGGAAAACTTGAGCTCAGGATGGTCTGCAACACTGTGCATCACTGGTGTCCATCCTAGTCACTAGACGGGCAACGGAGCTGTGAGCCAGGTCGTGTGGAGTTCTGCCAAGTGGCATCAGCAGAACATTTTATAGCAGTTACCCATGGATTTCATAGCAGGAGCCTTGTGGGAGCCCTTGCTGGGAGCCCCTGTGACTGCCCTGTTCTGGAGCCCCCATTACAAGAGGGACGTGGACCTGCTGGAGCGTGTCCACGAGAACGATCCGAGGGCTGGAGCAGCTCCGCTGTGAGGACAGGCTGAGGGAGTTTGGGGTGTTCAGCCTGGAGAAGAAGAGGCTCTGGGGGGACCTTACAGCAACCTACCCCTTAGGGGGGCTACAAGAAAGCTGGGGAGGGACTTTTTAGGAATGGGGCAAAGCTGGCAGTGGGCAGATTCAGGCTGGATGTGAGGAAGAAGTTCTTCCCCATGAGAGTGGTGAGACCCTGGCATGGGTTGCCCAGGGAGGGGGTTGAGGCCCCATCCCTGGGGGTCTTTAAGGCCAGGCTGGAGGAGGCTCTGGGCAGCCTGATCTAGTGGGAGGTGTCCCTGCTCATGGCAGAGGGGTTGGAACTGGGGGATCCTTGTGGTCCCTTCCAACCCTGACAGATTCTGATCTGTTTTAGCAGAGGACTTTAGAGCCCTAATGGCTCAATGGTTGGACTTGATGATCTTGGAGATCCCTTGCAACCTAAAGGATTCTATGATTCTATAAACCCATCTGTCTCCTGTGTGAGGTTCACTCCTGTGTTTGTTCTGGACTCTTCTCCAGTTGACACCACACGGGTGGCACTCCGGGACGTGGACGAGAGCGTGCCTGGGTCAGACTACATCAATGCCAACTACATCAAGGTACCTGGGAGAGGGAGGACACCCTGTGGGGGCTGTCCTCCAGTGCTGGGTCTGCTGAAGGCAGTGATGGTGCAAATCTTGAGGGAATGACCTGTCAGGACCAGTATTTTCAGGATAGAGAGGGTTTGTCTCAATCCTTTCCTTTATTTACCTGTTCAGGAGGTCCTAGGGGACTGATCCCTCTCTGGCATTGATACCTGGAGGGATTTAAAAGCTATATAAATGTGGTGCTGTGGGACATGGTTTAGTGGTCACCTGCCAGTGCTGGGTTAACAGTTGGACTTGATGATCTTAAAGGTCTCTTCCAACCAAAGTGATTCTACAAACATGATCTCAGAGGTCAAATTATAATTGTTATCTGTAAGCTAAGAGCTGCTTGGAGCTGTCTTTCCAGCAAGGCTGCTCTGGCACTTAAGCACCACACTTAAGCACTTTGGGAAGCCCTCAAGGTGGCTTTGTTCCAGCCACATCCACCAGTCTGTGGGGCAGTAATGTGCCTTACAGCAGCACGAAGGTCCCTGGAGGCTGGCAGACCACTTTGCTGGCAACTCTGTTGAAGCTGGTGGTGAAAGCTGGTTGGGTGTGCACAGGACTGATGAATCCAGCACGGTGAGACGTGCTGGCTTGGCTGCTGAAGCAGTTCTCAATTCCTCACTCCAGCATTATTGGCTTTTTGGTTTTTCCACTCCTCTTCTTCCTTCCTCAGAGCATCCCTGAAGATGGAAGGAACTCAGAGCACTGCAAGATCTATATAGCCACCCAGGGCTGCCTGCAGACAACAGTGAATGACTTCTGGGCCATGGTGTATCAAGAGAACAGTCATGTCATTGTCATGACAACCAAGGAGGTGGAGCGGGGCAGGGTGAGCCCTCCTAGGGTGCTGTCCTCGAGCCTGAAAGTTGCTTGTCCTGATAGGGTTCAGTTAAGCTGTCTCTGGCTGGTTTCATTTCACTGCCTCAGGAAGAAACACAGCACCTTGCTCTGCACAGCCCCACAGACAGGATCGGGGTGTCCCCTGGGTGGCTCTGAGGAAATGCAGGTGGCAGAGAGAGGGGGAGAAAGCAACGTGCTTGTTCCAGCAACCTGGGCAGGGGGGTCCCAACGAAGAGTGGGCTGGTAGGAGCTGAGGGATGCAGTGATGTCCCATGCAGAGCAGCCTTCCCTGCTGAGGAGGTGGCTGTGGTTGGCTCCAGCAGCTTGGCGTGGGGGTGAGGGGGAGCCTGGTGCAGGATGAGGTGAAGACAGATCTGCTCAGGAGCCTTTGCTTGCGTTGGCAGAGTCACTACAGCAAAGAGGGGATGTGCTGGGGGACAGGAGGGGTGCAGCAGGCTGGATCCCCTGGGGCTGGAGGTTTGGCTTGGGAGTTAGGCAACGACCAGAGCCCTCCCAGTACATCCCCAGTTCGAAGGAAACGCTCGGTGCCAGGGCATCTCCTTGAAACCTCTGCTGTGGGACCACCCCTCCTGTGAGCAAGGGCTTGAGGGCTCCATCCTCCAGCTCTCCAGCGTGGAGTAAAGAGCCCCTGTGCTGTTGCTGCAGAACAAATGCTTCCGTTACTGGCCGGAGAAGGGCAGCACCAAGGAGTATGGCTGTGTCTGCGTGAGGAACGCCGGCGAGCGCGAGGCCCAGGGCTACTACCTGCGGGAGCTGGAGGTCTGGAGGCTGGACAGGGTGAGTGCTGCAGCCAGTGCTGGAGCCCCCAGGACAAAGAGGGGTGTGGAGCTGCTGGAGCGTGTCCAGAGAAGGGCCACCAGAATGATCCGAGGGCTGGAGCAGCTCTCCTGTGAGGACAGACTGAGAGAGTTGGGGCTGGTCAGTCTGGAGCAGAGAAGGCTCCGCG